ACTCCCATCTGATGGCATTACCTACAATTTTGAGCAGGCACAACAGAGTACGAGTTTCTGAAGCATAGGTTTCTGATGGTCCCTTGGAGGCATCTTATCCAAGGGTGCTATCCCTAAAGGCCCAGTCTGGTGGGGTCTCTGGCTCAAGCAATTCTTGGCGAACAGGCTCAGAGGTAGTGTCAGGGCCTGCATCTGCACTCTCTTTATCTAGGTGAGTCCTTCACGTTGGGTTTGGAGTACAGGTTGGTGCTCAAATGAGTCATATTATTTGGTCATGGGCCATCCTTTTCTCCTTATATATACTGTTCATATATATAAAATTCCCTCCTGTCAACTTGTTTCCCACAATATTTGTATGTTAAGGCTGGTATTAATTGGATCATGTTGTTATTGGTTTTACCTATAGGCTATTAGGCCCATTTCCTTCTGCTTTTGAATGAATAATTAGAAGTATATTTTTCACATGCGTTTACTTTGGAATTCAAAGTTTCTACCCTCATTTGTTCATTTTTTTGGTTGTCGTTCTTTAAAACTTTGTTATGTGGTAGTGAACCAGAGCATGGCATGTGGTTGATGCTAAAAGAGTCTAACAGCACTTCAAACTTTACATTAAGGGCAGAATCAAAATTAGAAATTTGGGCACCCTGATGAAATTGCACTATCTCTCACTCACTCAGCCCTGAAACATGGCCATGAGAACACCACTACCCGTGTAAGAGAAAAGATACAGAATGGAATGGATAACCTCACTACCATTAGATTCTATAGGGGAGCCTCTCATTAAACTACTCTCCCAGGGAGCAGGGAGGTGATTCTTTGTGAGCAGTGGGACTAAGGATGTTCCCTTCTGCTTCCTAGCTGAGCATATGTAGTGAAACAGACAATGGGATTAGGAAGACGTCTCTTTTCTCTCTCTTCCAGTCCCAGAAGTTTGCCTGGAGGATCCTAGATGATTACTTACACTTTATTTCATTAGTTATATATACTGCCCCATTAGTTCACTGCACTATTCTGGGGGGTTCAAAACAATTAAAAAGACAAATAACTGTAAAATGTGTAAAACCCTTTAAAAATATAAAAACCATCAAAGCACCAATGGTTCAAGGCACTGTTCTCTGTAAGAGCTAAAAACAGAGGCACAGGATCAGACAACATTGTTATAGAAGGCCTCCCTGAAAAGCAGCATTTTATTCTGTCTTCTAAACGTTAGCGGGGAGAGGGCCAGCTGTAGCTCCACCAAAAGCTGGTTCCATAGAATTGGTGCCACCAAGAAGAAGGCCTGACTCCATGGGGAAGACTCTAGAGCCTCCCTCAGAGTGATAATATGGAAGAACATAGCCTGGGAGGATCTGGTGGTTGGGCTGATGAGATCGGGGAAAAGACACTAATACAAGTAGTGTGGTCCCAAACTGTGGAGGTTTGTGCATAGGAGTCCTGGAATTACAAAAAAAAATCCCATTCCTATTGCCTACTGTAACCCTAAGATAAAAGAGAACTTGGCTTCACAGGTTGCTATGCCAACCACCCTGATGTATCCCTGGTTTGCTGGACAGCAGATGTTTTGAATCTGAAAGAAAATATCAAAATGGCTCCTCCTCCTCCTTACTTTCACAAACTGTACTCATTTTAAAATTCTGTGTGACATCTGGGTCAGAGACCAAAAGCTGCTGGCCACTTACTTAGAAGTTTGCCATTTTGGTCTGACCAAGAGAGGCCAAAGGTTCAAACTGTTTTTCACTCTCCTTCATGTAGGAAGCTTTTATATATCTTCCTGCTCCTCATATTGTAAATATATCACACCGAACCCATGTCTGAACATTTTATATAAAGGTTAATGTGTTTATTTAAAACTGCAACTTAAAGAGGAAGATATATATTGGTAATAAGAGTAAGGTTAAGCAAAACAAAAGTGGCTGGATGTTTTAACACAGCCCTCCCCAGCTTGGCATGTTCCAGAGGTCTTAGACTATAACACCCATTGTCCTCAGACACCATGGGAATGGTGGTTGAGGATGGTGGTAGTTAGAGTTCCATCACATCTGGGAGGTGCCATCTTGCACAAGTCTGTTCTAGTATCATAGTAGTTTTAAAGATACCACTTTGTGCAATTTCTGTTCATACGATCCACACCAGTTTGAGATCGCATTGTATTTGAGGTGTAAAGGGTTGGAGAAAAGAACAGTGCTACAGTATTCTGCCTAAAAGCACATAAGGTGGATCATAAGTCATCTTTCCACAGAAAACCATTTGCTTTACCCTCTTCGCAGTTCTCTGAGATGTACACTAACTTTGCGCTTCTGCTCGTTAGGAGTTGCTGCCTTGGACAGTAAAGCATCAGGCAAGATGGGACTCCGAGCAGTCGTCTACTACATGAGCACCACAGTCATTGCTGTCTTTATTGGAATAATCATGGTGATCATAATCCATCCTGGGAAAGGATCAAAGGAAAAAATGCACCGAGAAGGCAAGATTGTGCAAGTGACAGCGGCCGATGCCTTTCTGGATTTAATCAGGTAAGGCCACATTTTCTATTGGTGTGAGTTAGGGTACCAATACTTTTTCACATCTGCTGTTAGTGATGGGATATACCTGGATATAGAACTATCACAAGGGTACCTTTAGATGTATCTGTCATTTATTTCACTATGGTACTTTCATCCTAGAATATAGGATGTATAGTAAGACCCTCCCATATCCAGGAGGGATTGGTTCCAAGCACCACCACCCCTGGGATGCTGGAAAAAAAAGAGGGATTGTAGCAAACACCCTCCCCACCCTTACCAACAATCTGGAAGGTCAAGACAAGTCCTTGGGGCAAAGGAGCCCGCAGGAATCTC